GACTGCTAGGCCAGTCCCAGGGACAGCTGACAGGCTTTGCCCGTGGGGCCCTGCCCCTCAGGTGGTCCCACACCCACAAGCATTCTGTATTCCCACTGCTGCGCCTTCCAAAAGGCCCCGTGGGATTTCGTGATGATTTTCTTGGATTCCTTAAATCACACACCAGAAGAGTTTCAATGTCTTGAAAATCCTCTTTTTCGTTCTGATGATAAAGTAATATAAACACATTGTGGAACATTTGGGAAAATCACAATGTTTAAAAAGAAAATTAAAAGCACACAATACCACACACACAGAGAAGTACCCTGGTAAATTCTTCGTGTGAGTCCTTCCAATTTTTGATTCTGCATGTGCGTTTGAGATCTATCCTGTTTTTCTGTTAGGTTTTCCCCATGACATTAAAAATTATCAAAGTAATTTTTGAATTTTTTCTTAGATTTTGGGCGTTTCACTCATAGAATACATGTATAGTTAGAAATATAAGAATTTCCCTTTGAGAGAAAAATCTATATGATCAGGGCCTCAGGGGCAGCTCCCCTGCACAAGCTGTGCATCCAAAATTCAACAATGTGATTACAATGACTCAGACCAGGGGCCTTCTCCAGCTAGTGGGTCCACCTTGTGTTTTTATGTCTTTCAGGTTACATTACAACACTCGGCTATTTTGCACCTTAGGTAGGTGTATGTAAATTGATCAGTTTTCTAAAGAGAGAGAAAAAAAGAAATGCGACAATGGGGGGAGGGGACCTAGCTTTTTCACACAGACCCACATTTATTCTCAGCCAAAATCCAGAAAAGCAACAAAGGCAAGTAAATCAAGACCCTCACCAGCGCTCCTGCCACCCTCTTGCATGCTATATGCAATGCACCCCACAGTCAGACGAGGGCTCCTCTACAGTACCTCTGGTCAGCCTGCATGCGTGATGCTGGAGAATGCATGCAGCCAGTAGGTGTAACTGAGTGGACAGCCAGGGAGCCTGGCGCAAGTTCCTGCGCTGGCACGGGGCTGTGGGGGCCAAGGGTAGTGACAAGTTTGTGCCCAGGGCTGTGCAGGAACATAGGGAGAAATGTCTGCTTTCCCAACCGAGGCTGCAGCTCACCCTGCAAAGCAGCTCAAAGTGCTTTTGCAAATGCAATTCAGATCACCCCCTCAAATTCACACCTGGGATTCCAAGAAAGAAACATTAAGAGCTATCATTAACATTCCCTTCCTTATCCCCCTAAACACATTTGCATCTGTGCCCACTGGGAGCTGAGGCACACTCTGAGCTCTGACCCAGAACGAACCAGCCCTGTCTCCCTAGTCCAGTGCTCCCTGAGATTGTTGCAGACACAGCCTCCAGCTTGCCCCCTCTTCTGCCCACACACTCCGCACACCACCTCGCCCCCTCGCTGGCCTCACCCTTTCTGCCCCGTGGGACTCACTTCAGTCTCTTCTACTCCCCAGGTCCTAGTCACATGTCATTAGCGTTTTTAGTTTAAGTCTGAGTCTGTTTCCCAACAGCCACTAAGAGGCCAGAGGCCCAGCCTTACCTCCCCATCGTAAGGAGGAAAAGTTCTCCTGGACCCTCTTTGGGTCCCTGGTGGGCTTAAGAATTAAACTGACATAAAACAGATTAACAGGAGAAACGCACACAAATTTTATTGAACTTTTACATGCACATCGAAGACTTCACAAGAGAATGAAGGCTGAAAAAAAGTGACCAAAGCAGGAGGCTTTTACTGCATTGAGACAAAGAATCAATTTGTGAAGGATTGGCAAGACAAAGGGGTTTGGGCTACGGGTAGTACTTGGTGAGAAGTTACCAGGAAGATATGGGTTCGTTTAACAAGGTTTGCTTATACAGACTTCTTGACCCTGAATTCCCTGTCTCTGGTAGTAAGGATGCCTTCTACAGGGAGGGCACCTGTCGCATGGTTGATTTATCTTTTGCTTTCAGGACAAAGAAGGGTCAGAGTGTGCTTATTGCAATGACTGTTTAAGTACCTTTCATTTAAAATAATCAATATGCCAAAGTGGCAAATTTTGGGGTGACATATTCTGAACCCCTTCCCCGTATTCCCATGGATACCCCTTGCCTGCACACACAGCCTCACCTGCAGGGCACCTTGGAGGCCACCTTCTCACCACACTCCCAGAAAGGTTTGGCTTTCTTTGTTTGCTTCCATTTTTGTTTGTTTTAACAAGGCACTTAAACATCGCATGTGTTTACATTTCCCCGAACACCAAACACAAGCGTTCGATTAACCGCATGCTAGTGCATTATAGACACCAAACCCAAACACTCGGTCGTCACCCTCTTCCTCTCTCCCTGCCCTTCCCCATGCCAGCCCCCCGAGGGCTCTTCTATCTGCTTCTCTACGTCAGTATCGCTGCCCATAATGTTAGAGATAAGGCTTGATTTGATAGCAAACACAGAATACATAGTGGCCCAAAAGCAATCACTTTTTTTTCTTTTTTCTAGTTAGACTCAGGACTCAGACCCCTCCATCGTCCCCTGGAGAAGGGCAAGAGCATAGTAGGGCCACATACACTATTTAAGGCCAGAAGGGCACATCTGCTCCAGACAGGCCAGACATCAGCATGTGGCCACCCCTCAATGCAAAGGAGGCCAGGAAATGTGGTCCAATCTGAGCTAGAAAAAGGGAAGAAACACATCGGAAGGTCAACTGCCCAGGGCTGCCCAGGGCACTTTACTCAGTCACTAACCATTCCAACAGATTCCTCCAACTCAGGATAAATGCCTAGAGAGTGAAGGTTACAGCTGAGCCAGAATAAGGGGAAAAGCAGCTTCAAAGTGGGTTGTGGGGGTGGCTGTAGATTTCCTCTGTGACATTTTAAAGTATGAAATACCACTGACGACTGTTAAAAAGCAGCTAATCTGACAAACCCTCTTCTTCTACTGAAGGACTCAGGGAGACAAGAGCTCAGGGCAGCTTTGCACACTCAGAGAGCGTACCGCCTGGGCCAAAGCAAGAGCATACACCAGGTCTGCACACAAGGCCTCCCCAACCTGCTATGGCTTGATCCCAGAGCTTGCCCCACGTGAAGTTGTACTTAAGAGACTTCCACTCAGGGAAAAATTAGCATCGAGAGGTCAGCTGTGGCCACTCTGGGCCACGAACATCGTGCCATGCGGGGAGGGGGTGCTAGCAATGAGCAGGGACGTCCTTTTGATCCATCCAGATACTCCACCCCTCGGCCACCTTGCTTCCCTTTGACTCCTGTCCTGGAATCTGTTTGAAGAAAAAGAAGGGGGGGAAAAAAGCAAAGTTTCTCCTTTACAAATGAAGGATCATTGAGGGCAGTAATTTCAAAGTCAAGGTTGTCAAGTCAAAGAGCAGACTCTATAGACCAGACGCTGAAACATAAAACAGGTCGATGGGATTGCATTTTAAGGAAACTAATCAACCATGAGCAAGGTTAATCCATAAGTTAAGTTGGTACCACTCAAGTCCCATCCCCAGCTATTTTTTTATTCGGACAAATGTTTTCTCGCCAGACTGCATTTCTTCTTTAACCAAGGGGAGAAAAATGTAGTTACCACCAAGGGAAAAAAATGCATAGCAGAGTCAAAAGGTACAGAAGGAAAGCTTGGGAAGAAACTCCATACAAATTTTATTGTTAAAGTTTATTTTAAAAACTTTTAGAAAGTTTTAACATTACTGGCTGAAGAGTAATTTCATATAATGGTTTATATGTGCTTAATAGCAGTATCAGTTCCAAATTTCCCTTTGCACTCAGATTCTAAGAGAGTTTTTCTAGTGCATCATTAACTAATTGTTATACCAATGCATTAATCATGAAGGCCATGAGAAAAAAAAAACCTACCAGCCAAAACTGCAGATATTAAATATTGAGGCAGAAACCAAATAAAATGTGTAAACACATGAACAGAGAGAGATTTTCCCCATACATTTTTTTTTTATCTTGGCATTGAATCAACGAACAAAGACAGAATTATTTTTTTAAACTCTGAAATTTGACTGACAATTTAAAGACGTTGCTCAAAATTCTTGCCCTAACTGTAAGGAAAGTAGCAAAGAAACAATTTATTACAAAGGAATATTTATTACATGTCTGTTCCATGCAGGTATATATCACATGCGTGGTTTCATTCAACCTCATAACCTATGAACTGGGTTTCATGATCACCATTTTGGAAACTGAGATTCAATGCATTTGGATGGTATGTTACTCTACTCAGGCTGCCATAACAGAGTACCACACTGGGAGGCTTAAACAACAGAAATGTATTTTCTGACAGTTCTGGGAGCCGGAAGTTTAAGATTCAGGTGCCAGAAGGTTGGTTTCTGGTGACTTTGGTTGGTCTAGAAGACCTTTCTTCTTGGCTGGCAGATGGCCACCTTCTCACTGCCCTCACATGTCCTTCCTTCTGCGCTCACACCCCGGGAGTCTCTCCAGTCCTATTGGATTTAGGCCTTACCTTTATGACTCTTTTCATCTTAATTACCTCCTAAAAGGTCCCATCTGCAAATACAGTAACATTGGAAACTAGGGCTTCAACATATGTATTGGGGGGTGGAGGGCACACGATTCAGTCCATAACAGATAGCATGCCCCAGAGCCCACAGTTGCTAAATGGTAGAACCAAGGCTGTCTGAATCTGAACAGTCCTTCATCCAGAGTGTGCTGCCTCTCCCATGCCACGGCACCCCAATCAGAGTGGGGAGACATCCTGCTGTAAGAGCTGACTCTTAGAACTCGCTGCCAAGGAGGCAATTTTACAGCAAGACACTTTGTCCCAGTCAAAGGGTGGCGAAGGACTTACACAAGCTAGACCGCAGAGCACAGGCCTACAAACCAACTAGAGGCCTGTCCAGGTGACACCAAATAAAAATGGCTTCATTTACTCTATTAATAGCTTCACAGATGGGATTTGGTTTCACTACCATATACCATACACAGTGTGGTTTCCATGGTCCCCAAAGAGCCAGCATCTCATTCAGTGTTTCTTTTCTTTTCTCCAAACCACCAGCTAACGTCCTGGAGGGCGACTCCATGGATCAGGACGTTGAGAGCCCTGTGGCCATTCACCAGCCTAAGTTGCCTAAGCAGGCCAGGGACGACCTGCCAAGACACATCAGCCGGGACCGGACCAAAAGGAAAATCCAGAGGTATGTGCGAAAAGACGGAAAGTGCAATGTCCACCATGGCAACGTGAGGGAGACCTATCGCTACCTGACTGATATCTTCACCACCTTAGTAGACCTCAAGTGGAGATTCAATCTGTTGATTTTCGTCATGGTTTACACAGTGACATGGCTTTTTTTTGGGATGATCTGGTGGCTAATTGCATACATCCGAGGAGATATGGACCACATAGAGGACCCCTCATGGACTCCCTGCGTCACCAACCTCAACGGGTTCGTCTCTGCTTTTTTATTCTCAATAGAGACAGAAACCACCATTGGTTATGGCTACAGGGTCATCACGGACAAGTGCCCGGAGGGAATTATTCTCCTCTTAATCCAGTCTGTGTTGGGGTCCATTGTCAATGCATTCATGGTGGGATGCATGTTTGTAAAGATATCACAACCCAAGAAGAGGGCAGAGACCCTGGTTTTCTCCACCCATGCGGTGATCTCCATGCGGGATGGGAAACTGTGCCTCATGTTCCGAGTAGGGGATCTTAGGAATTCCCACATCGTGGAGGCTTCCATCAGAGCCAAGCTGATCAAATCCAAACAGACCTCGGAGGGGGAGTTCATCCCTTTGAATCAGACGGATATCAATGTAGGGTATTACACGGGGGATGACCGTCTGTTTCTGGTGTCACCACTCATCATCAGCCATGAAATCAACCAACAGAGTCCTTTCTGGGAGATCTCCAAAGCCCAGCTGCCCAAAGAGGAACTGGAAATCGTGGTCATCCTAGAAGGAATGGTAGAAGCTACAGGTAAGACATACTCCATCCTGAGGCATCTGTGGGAGCGATGTTCACTTTAAACTGGGTCTGATTTTCTTATTTATGGCAAAATAGGGAAAAGGGAACCTCGCTCGCTATTGACACCATCCCCTTGCTTCATGAAATAGTATTCCTATGTGTCCTTAAGTATATCCACCAAGAAGTCTAACTATTTAGCTTTTTAAAAGCCCTTTGGAAAATAAGTTACTAAATAAACCTTTGAAAATACTGCTTAATATATGTTAAATTTCCAAATATTTACTTAAATTAAAATTTGTTTCTAACGCACTTGTTAAATGGCTCTAAAACATTGCTTAATTTAAATACTTGAGGTTATTTATTGCCAAACCAGGAAGGAGAAGTTGAGCCTTTCAAAGGAAGCCTGAAAAATTACTTTAATAAAAATGCAATTTCACTACTTCTTTGGGAGTCGTTTGCAAGACCCATAGCTTTGGTTCTTCTTTTATATCAAGTGATTGCTTGGTGTCTTTCTCCATACTCTTATTTGCTGAATCCCCAATAGACATAATACTGCAGACCCAGTAAATAACTCTAGCAAGAAAGAAAAAAATTAAAGATCCATTCATCATAATCCTATTGAGCCTTCTGCTGTGAATAGCTAATCATCGGTGTGTTTTAGGGAAGGCGACCTGTTCTCAGAATAGAGAAATGGTCTGTCTTTATCGAAGTCTTCACTCATCTCTGAACTTCACACGTTACACATGTCAACAGCAAAGCAGGTTCTGCCCGTGTTTATCTGTAACATTCCACAAAACAGAGCTGTAAACTCTGATTTCAGCAACAATGGTGCCCCACGGGAAAAGCATAAACTAGAACCCTGGTTCATTAATTCTCTACTGTTCTCCTGAGTATCAATATTAACCTTTGGGTCCTGTTTAGTTGTATGACCTGCCCTTCTGTGCTTTAAAGTCTCCAACTGGAGGCTCAGGGTTGGTTTATATAATCTGAAAATGCATGGCCAATAGCCTGGCCCCAGGTTCTTTATCAATCCATAAGCTGATCTCCGTCATCCTGTCAAAGGCACGTCATTGGTCCCCTGTCTCTGTCTCCCTGGACCCAGCAGGCAGGGTCATAGCCTCTAACAAATTTCTCTTATGGTGGTAGAAACGTTTGCAATAGGTTTTTTAAAAAAAATACAGCAAGCAATGAAAATGTAAGTAAAAGATTTTGCATGGAGCGCAATGATATGAGTGGGCTCCTTTCCACAGAACAAAAAGAACATGGACCTAATCCGAAAATGGCTTTAAAGAAAGACCAAGTAATTACTGTAAAATACTAAGTAAGTGTCGCAGATGTGAACGGGGCTGTCTGTACCTTGAGCCTGACTTTGGGTGTGCTTGTGAAGCAATAGTTGTTGGCGGCGCGGGGTGAGGGCGGGGGTGGGGA